AGGAAAAAGAAAGAAAGAAAGAAGAAAAGAAAAAAAACTAGCTACACTTTTATTTGCAAGTGTAGAGGCATTATTCTACCATTTTCAAAATATAAGGAAACTACCCGGCCGTGGTCTGTGTGCTGCTAATGGACAGTTATGCTTTCACATTCTTGCCCAGGTGTGAACATAGAGTAGGATCACATCCTGTCAGTAGGAGCCGAGGATTCCTGTCCAGAGAATGGCTATTCTGATGTCAAATCCTGAAAAAGACAAAGATTCTAAAATGAGAAAAAGAAAAAAAGGATTTGGAAGGCGAGACTTAAAAAGGAATAAGTGGGAATTAATTTCTTTCTCTTCTGAAGCTCATTCCCTTGAGCCTGGAATCCCAAGTCCCAATGCGCTCAATATGTTTCCAAAAGATAAGGAACAATGGTATCTGCTAGGGATGGAGGTAGGGAGTTCATGAGTTAGTCCCAGAATAGTACCTAGCACAGGGTAAACACTTGGTAACTATTAGCTATCATTACCATCACATGTTATTCTGTGTGACATAATTGCTATCATTCAGCACAGTCTCATTGCTGAGACACCTTAGACTCAGCTGGGATTCAGAGTTTTGAGGGGAGGGTTGTGCACTTGGCCTGAAAGGCTAGGGAGGAGAGATTCCCCTCCCTCTCAGAGGCCACTGATGGAGGTGGGGGTTAGTCATAGCTCTAAAGGAAAAGAGAGGCAAGGTAAGGACAGAAAACCCAAACCTCAGGGCTCTCCATTGCAGCCATCCCTCCTCATGTGGAGTTAAGAAGGGTGTTTATTAAGTTACCCTCAAAGGAAGAAAATATCAAGCTGCCTTCATACTTTTCCATAACATATTACATTTCAGAAAAGACTAGAGCATCTGTAGACTGAGGATTAAATATTTAAGTCAAGAACTCCACAATAAGCCATATTTCATTCATAAGTGAAGGAAATTGAAAGGCATTCTCAACTATGCAAAAACTCAACATACCTGCAAAACCTTCTTTAAAGAAAAATGTGTTTAACCAAAGGAGAAATAATTTTAAGAAATAATTCAAGCCCGGCCGGTGTGGGATCAGTGGTTGATCATCAACCCCGTGAATCAAGAGGTCACTGGTTCAATTCCCAGTCAGGATACATGCCTTGGTTGTGGTTGAGGGCTCAATCACCAGTAGGGGGCATGTAGGAGGCAGCTGATCAATGATGTTTCTCTCATAGATGCTTCTATCTACCCCTCTCCTTTCCTCTTTCCCTAAAAATCAATAAAGACATATTTTTAAAAAATAAGCATATCCACATACCTAAACATTAGATTGAGATCTTATTAAAACAACAACAACAACAACAACAACACAGAATTCAAGAAGGTAAAATATGCCCTAAGTGGTTTGGCTCAGTGGCTAGAGCATCAGCCTGCGGACTGAAAGGTCCCAGGTTCAATTCCAGCATGTACCTTGGATGTGGGCACATCCCCAGTGGGAGGGTGTGCAGGAGGCAGCTGATGGATGTTTCTCTCTCATTGATGTTTCTAACTTTTTATCCCTCTCTCTTCCTCTCTGTAAAAAAATCAATAAAGTATATATAAAAAAAGAAATAAATAAAAAATAAGGTAAAATATGAAAAAGATGATGAATACTGAAGATATTGAGTATAAAATCAATCAAACAAAACTATAGTATGAATAGTTATAAACAGAATACAACTGTCATAAACAATCCTTAACACATTGTATTTTTTTAATTGAAGTTTAAAACTCCAGGTTGTACTATAATAAACTTGGGAACTACATGAGGCAGAGGAAGTCAGGAGGAGAAATATGAGAAAGTAGAAGTCCCCAATATTCTTAATGTACAAAGATAATATTTTTAGTCTATGCTAATACTTAGAAAAACTGCAAGTGTTATTTTAAAACAAAATGTATGCCTTCCAAAGTACTAAGGGGGAAAATAAGAAACATACAGTCAATATAGAAAAAGGAGGGGGATAAAAACCAGATACACAAAATAAGAGAGAGCCAAAATTAAACCAAACCAAAATATTTAATTTTATTGATATAAAATATAGCATGCAACAAAGACATATGAGTCATTTTGTACTGAAAAAGTAGGAATTAGATCACATGTAGCCCTCAGAAATAGAAGATGTGAAAAGAAAAATAATAGTAGTAAGAGACTTTAAAAAGCCTCCTTCAATTCTTGACAAATAAATAGAATACAAAAACATAGAGGACCTGAATGCAATTTGTAAGTCTGACTTAATGGATATGTAATGGAGTATTAAATTAATATTTTCTATATCATAGAAGCAATGACTGCCCCTTGCCCAGAGAAGTTTGGAGTCTTGGATAAGTGTTTTTTTGTGAACTAAGTTTTTCACCGTTATTTTATTGTAACAACCAAGCAAACAGAAAAGGCAGACTAGTGAAATAAACCATGGATGTCACAGAATCAGTAAAAATGTTGTAAAATCTTCATGGTATATGTCTAAGTACATGGCAACATGTGTTGCGTATTGAACCCATTTTGGGGAAAATGAAAAAGTATGTTTGCCTGGGTATGGGTGCAGAACTGAGTAACCACAAATAAGAATGAATATCCCAGACTTAAAAAAAAAATACACCAGAAAAGCTGGCCAGCAGGGCTTAGTTGTTGAGCATCGATCTATGAACCAGGAGGTCAGGGTTTGATTCCCAGTCAGGGCACATGTCCAAGCTGAGGGCTTTGACCCCCAGTGTAGGGCAAGCAGGAGGCAGCAGATCAATGATTCTCTCTCATCATTAATGATCCTCTCTCTCCTTCTTCCTTATTCTCTGAAATCAATAAAAAAAAATATATATATATATATTCCATACCCATGGGGGTAAATCACACTTAGTGATAAAGGTGGGGCTTCTCTAAAATAAGGAAAAGTTCTCACTGGTAGTGTCCTGAGCAGAGGTTAGTCCTGGAGCAAGAAGGGGTGGGGAGGCAGGGAGAGCTTTGAGCCCCCGCTCAGGCCCAGGGGGCAGGACACCCAAAGGTAAGTGTTGAGAAGCTCAGAAAGTTCTTAGGGAAGGGCATGCACATCTTTTACTTTTATGTGTGACTTTCAATGTATATATTCAAGTTTAAGTTTTCTATTATTCTTCCCTTTTATTCACAAGTTATATGGATCAAATTAATTCTGTATGAGAATCATATTAGTAGGGAATCCTCTGCGTTTTAATAAATGGGGAAAAATTTAATGTTGCATATTTTAAACAAAGCCTCTGAGTCTTTCCAACTTTATATAACCATCAGTCTTTTTATTTCCTTTTTTTTTAATTCTTTATTGTTGAAAGTATTGCATATGTCTCTTTTTATCAGTCTGTTTATTTCCATGTGAATAATTGGCAACCACGAATTTTAAGCTGATTAATAATAAAGGAAAACTCTGAATGGAAATTCATAATAGTAATAATGGGTAAAATCATTGCATACTTAATAAAAAGCACATAGTTTTCTTAAAGTTTTAAGTATATTACTTATTTATTCCTAGTAATAACTTTATGAAATAAGCTACTATTACTTTCCCTCTTTTTGAAATGAGGAAAATAAGGTGCAGAGAGTGAAGTTGCTCGTACAGGGATACATACTTCCTTAAAGCTTCATTCCTCAGCAATCCGGCCTGGAGAACAGCCAGGCACTTGATTCAGAGGGAACTCTAACTTAGCTGAACCAATCAAGGTCCAGGACAGGACAGCTTAAGTGAGCACCAAGCTCAGCATATCCAAAATGAAGCTGTAGCCTGGCTAGCGTGGCTCAGTAGTTGAGCCTCGACCTATGAGCCAGCAGGTCACGGTTCGATTCCGTCAGGGCACATGAGAGATTTTCACCCATATTGATCTATGCACATATTTCGTTTGTGCATTAACACATCATTCTTTTTCATCTGTGGTACAAAGAATGCAGCACTCTATGTATGGAGTACCATGAGGGTACCTGGCACGACATTATCACTCCCTTGCTGGAGATGGAGGGCTTTGTTGTCATCACATCAGAAATTTACTTGGTTAGCTGTATTTGCTAAAAATCTCACCTGCCTTTCCACTCTTCCCTCACCTTATCTGTGCCGTTGTTTGTGGAGCCAAGTATAAGGCGTAACATTTAGAACACAATGCCTGGCTTATGGTCTCATTATCACAATCATTATTAACTTCATCTTATTAGCTATGACCACTGTGTCCATTACAAAAAGGAATTACCACTTAAAATGTTAGATCAGCCCCACCCACTTCAGCTTTACAAGTGAAAATATTACCTTGCATTACCACTGCTTCTGGATTTTCAGACCACAGCATCATATATATATATATATATATATATATATATATATATATATATATGTGTGTGTGTGTGTGTGTGTGTGATTTTATATGTTTATATAATTTTATGTATATAATTTGAAATTATGTGTGTGTGTGTGTGTGTGTATATATATATATATATATATATATATATATATATATATAATTGATTTTTTACAGAGAGGAAGGGAGAGGGATAGAGAGTTAGAAACACTGATGAGAGAAACATCCATCAGCTGCCTCCTGCCCATATTGGGAATGTGCTTGCAACCAAGGTACATGCCCTCGACAGGAATGGAACCTGGGACCCTTCAGTCCTTAGGCCGAAGCTCTATCCACTGAGCCAAACCGGTTAGGGCAAGACCACAGTATCTTATCTCTCCAACCCTTTCTGCCAGGCTACCTCCAATCAAGCCGCGCTTCCAGAATGGTGTCTGCCTGGCCCCGCCCTCATCTCCGAGGAAACCCGCGTCCGTCCCGCCCACTCCTGGACGGAGAAGCAGTCGGTGTCGCTGCTGATTGGCTGGCTCGGGCGCAGCTTGATGGCGTCAGGCTGAGCGGCCCCGGTCCCTGCCAGGCGACGCCCCGGGCGAAGGCCACAGATGTAAGGGGCGGCGGCCCCAGCTGCTGCGGTCTCGGGCTCGGGCAATGGAGGCGCGCGCTCTCCCCGCACGTCACCATGAGTTTCCTAATAGACTCCAGCATCATGATCACCTCCCAGGTGAGCCACGCCTCCGGCCCGGACCTCGGCCTCGCTGGTCCGACCACAGAGTCGTCTTCGCGCCGCTCCGACCGTTCGCGGAGCGCGGGGAGGGTTCGGGGTTTGCCGCGTCCGTCCGGGCGTCCGCCACTGTGGTCGGGAGGCGGCCTGCGGCGGTCGCGCCCCGCCCGGCCTCCATCCCTCTCCGTCCCCCCACTTTCTCGTCCGGTTTGGGAAGGGTCGGGCGGCCGCAGCGCGCAGAGACGGGAGCGGCCCCCGAAGGTTCCGGCTGAGCCCCGGACCCCTGAACTGAGGAGCGCGGTGCCGGCGCCGACGCGGCGGCCAATGGGAGCGGCTCCTGGGGACACGTGGGCGGCGCGGTTCGCGGTCAAACGTGAATCCGGGTGTGGACGAGTCTGCGCCGTCCCTGGAGAGGTTCACGGCGCGAGGCTTTCTTTGAACGTGGACACGGCATCCATCCTCTCCTCCTGTCTAGTTCATAGCTGAATGGGGGTCCCCTCACGTGCAAGCTTGGGAGTCTTCCCTTGATTTTTTTTTTGAATAATTTGAATAGAATAACGTGTTAGTGCTTCTCTGAATGTTTGGTTAAATTCACCCGTGAAGCCATTTGGTCCAGGATCTTTGTCTGTTGGAAATTTTCTAATTACTGCTATAATTACACTAGTTGTAAGCTGTCTACATTCTCTGATTCTTCCTGATTCAGTTTTGGAACATTGTATGTTTCTAGGAATTTGTCTGTTTCATCCAGATTGTCCAATTTATTAGCATATAGTTGTTTTTCATATTTTCTTTTGTTGTTGACTGTATTACAGATGCCCCCCATTTTCCCTCAGCCACAAACCCCTGCACGAACCCAGGCCTTCATCACACTGTCTGTGTGCACTGGCTATGCATATACAGTATACGCATATGTTATTATTAATCTCTTCCAGTCTGCTTCACCCCCGTCCATTCTGAGATCTGTCAGTCTGTTCCATGCATCCATGTCTCTGCACTATTTTGTTCGTCAGTTTATTTTGTTCAATAGATTCTCTGACCGGCTTATTCTGCTTAGCACAATAACCTCCAGATCCACTTATGCAACCTCAAGGATAAAAGGACCTTCTTTTTGATAGGCACATAATATTCCATTTTGTAAATGTACCACAGCTTTTTTATCCTCATCTGCTGATGGGCGCTTGGCTGTTTCCAGATCTCAGTTATTGTAGATAACACTGGTCTGAACATAGGGGTGCATATATTCTTTCTGATTGGCGTTTTAGGATTTTAGGATATATTCCCAGAAGTGGGGTCACTGGGTCAAGCGGCAGTTCCATTTTTAATTTTTTGAGGAAACTACACGGTTTTTTATGGTGGCTGCACCAGTTTGCATTCCCATCAGCAGTGCACTAGGGTTCCTTTTCCTCCACATCCTCACCAGCACTTGTTTATTATTTACTGACTAGAGGTCCGGTGCATGAAATTCATGCAGGGGTGGGGGTGGAGCGGGGGTGATGGTGTCCCTCAGCCCAGCCTGCACTCTCTCCAATCTGGGACCCCTCAAGGGATGTCGGACTGCTGGTGGGATCGGGCCTAAACAGGCAGTCAGACATCCCTCTCACAATCCAGGACTGCTGGCTCCCAACTGTTCGCCTCCCTGCCTTCCTGATTGCCCCTAATCACTTCTGTCTGCCAGCTTAATCACCCCCTAACCACTCCCATGCCAGCCTTATTGATGTCTGACTGCTCCCCTTCCAGCCTGTTTGCCCCCAACTTCCCTCCTCTGCCGGCCTGGTCACCCCTAATTGCCCTCCCCTACAGGGTTGATCACCCCCAACTGCCCTCCCTTGCAGGTCTGGTCCCTCCCAACTGCCCTCCCCTGCTGGCCATCTTGTGGTGGCCATCTTGTGTCCACATGGGGGCAGAATCTTTGACCACATGGGGCAGCCATCTTGATCTTGTGTGTTGGAGTGAAGATTAATCTGCATATTACTCTTGTATTAGATAGGATAGAGGCCTCATGTACATGTGGGGGCCAGCTGGTTTGCACTGAAGGGTGTCCCAGATTAGGGTGGGGGTTCCCTTGGGGCATAGGGTGGCCTAAGCAAGGGGCCTGTGGTGGTTTGTAGGCCAGCCACACCCCCTAGTGACCCAAGCGGAGGCCCTGGTATCTGGAATTTATTTACCTTCTATTGATACAATTGAAACTTTGTAGCCTGGAGCGGAGCCAAGCCTTCTGCTTGCCCTGTGACTGCCACCATTTCTGTTTGGATTTGTTTACCTTCTATAATTGAAATTTTGTAGCCTTGAGTGGAGGCCAAGGCCGGCAAGGGCAGGAGGAAAGCTTGGCTTCTGCTGTTGCTGGGGAAACCCAAGCCTCCCTCCTGTTCTCTGTGGAGGCAGCCATCTTGGTTGGTGTTAATTTGCATACTCGCTCTGAGTGGCTGGTGGGTGTGGTGGAGTGATGGTTAATATGCATATGCTTTTTTATTACGTAGGATAGTAGCCATTTTGGCAGCGTGCAGTGATATATCATAGTTTTCATTTCCATCTCTCTGATGATAGTGAAGTTTAAAGCATTTTTTTCATATGTCTGTTGGCCATCTGTACATTCTCTTTGGGGAAGTATCTGTTCAAGTCCATTTTTAATTGGATTATTTGTGTTCCTGGTGTTGAGTTGTATGAATTCTTTATATATTTTGGATATTAACACCTTACCAAATGTATCATTGCCAAATATATTCTCCTATATAGTACTTTTCTTTTTCATTTTGTTGATGTTTTCTGTGGCTGTGCAGATGGTTTTTACTTTGATGTAGTCCCATTGGTTTACTTTTTCCTTTGTTTCTCTTGTCTTAGGACCACGGCACTTTGGCCTCTTGAGTGTGGCTCTTCCACAAAATACCATGGCCTATGGCAGTGGTTGGCAAACTCATTAGTCAACAGAGCCAAATATCAACAGTACAACAATTGAAATTTCTTTTGAGAGCCAAATTTTTTAAACTTAAACTTCTTCTAACGTCACCTCTTCAAAATAGACTCGCCCAGGCCGTGGTATTTGTGGAAGAGACACACTCAAGGGGCCGAAGAGCCGCATGTAGCCTGCGAGCCGCAGTTTGCCGACAGCCCTAGGAGATATGTGGTCAAAAATCCTGCTACATGAGATATCTGAGATTGTTCTACGTATGTTTTCTTCTAGGATTTTTATGGTTTCATGACTGACATTTAAGTTTTTTATTCATTTTGAGTTTATTCTTGTGTATGGTGTAAGTGGGTGGTCTAATTTCTTATTTTTGCATATACCTGTCTAACTTTCCCAGCACCATTTATTGAAGACACTGTCTTAACTCCATTGTATACTCTTGCCTATTTTGTCAAATCTTAATTGACCATAATGGTGTGGGTTGATATCTGAGGTCTCTGTTCTTTTCCATTGACCTGTGTACCTGTTCTTGTGCCAGTACAAGGCTGTTTTGATCACAGTGGCCTTGTAGTACATTTTTATATATATATATTTTATTGATTTTTACACAGAGAGGAATTGAGAGGGATAGACAGTGAGAAACGTCGATAAGAGAGATACATCAACCAGCTGCCTCTTGCACATCCCCCATTGGGGATGTGCCCGCAACCAAGGTACGTGCTCTTGACCGGAATCAAACCCGGGACCTTTCAGTCCGCAGGCCGACACTCTATCCACTAAGCCAAACCGGTTTCGACTGTAGTACATTTTAATATCTGGTATTGAGATCTCTCCAACTTTATTCTTCTTTCTCAAGATTGCTGAAGCCATTCGGGGTCTTTTTATATTCCATGTAAGTTTTTGGAATTACTGTTCTAGATCTGTGAAATAGGCCATTGGTATTTTAATGGGTATTGTGTTTAATCAATAGATTGCTTTGGGTAGTAGGGACATTTTAATGATGTTAATTCTTGCTCTTCATGCACACAGTTCCCATTTATTTGTATCTTCCTCTACTTATTTTTTCAGTGTCCTATAGTTTCCCTGTAGTACAGGTCTTTTAGCTCCTTGGTTAAGTTTATTCCTAGGTATATATTGTTGTTGTTGCAGTGGTAAATGGGATTGTCTCTGGTTTTCCTTTCTGAGAGTTCATTATTGGTATATAAAAATGCCATCAATGTTCTGGATGTTTATTTTGTACTCTGTTACTATGCCAAATTCAATTATTAAATCTAGTAGTTTTTGGTGGAAACTTTGGGTTTTCTATGTACAATATCGATGACAGTTTTACTTCCTTCTTTTCAATTTGGATGCCTTTTATTTCTCCTTCTTCTCTGATCACTATGACTAGCACTTCCAGTACTGTGTTGAATGAGACTGGTGAAAGTGGACATCCCTATCTTGTTCCTGATCTTAAGGGAAACACTTAGTTTTTGCCTATTGAGTGTTATGTTTGCTGTAGGTTTGTCATATAAAACCTTTATTATGTTGAGATATGATCCTTGTATTCCCCTTTGCTGAGATTTTTATAAATAAGTGCTGAATTTTGTCAAATGCTTGTCTACATCTATTGATATCATCATGTGATTTTTATCCTTCATTTTGTTGATGTAATGTATCACTTTTATTGATTTGTGAATATTGTACCAGCCTTGCATCCTCAGAATAAATCCCACTTGATCATGGTGTATGATCTTTTTAATGTATTGCTGGGTTCCATTTGCTAATTTTTTTGGAGGATTTTAGTATCTATATTCATAAGATATGTTGGCCTATAATTTTCTTCCTTTGTGGTATCTATCTGGTTTTGGATTTAGAATAATGTTGGCCTTGTAAAAAGAGCTTGGAAGTCTTCCTTCCTCTTGAACTGTTTGGGACAGTCTAAGCAGTATAGGTGTTAGTTCTTTGAATGTCTGGTAAGACCCTGTGAGGCCATCCAGTCCAAGGCTTTTGTTTGCTGGGTATTTTTTATTTTATTACTGCTTCAATTACATTAATTGTTATTGATCTATTCAGATTTTATGATTCTTCCTGAATGAGTTTTGGAATATTTTATGTT